ATATTAGAATAATGAATTAATTTTAATATTTTTATTTTGTTTTCAACACTAGATGTGATTCACTGGCTGGTATATCGCAGAAATCGAGCTGCAGCTAGAGTGCACACTTCATGTTCACTGCTTGTAATATTAGATCTGTTTAATTTTTTTAAAAGAACCCTTTCATTAGTAATAGCGCCCTCACTCAACAATAATTAGAATGAGTGGCTGATCAAAAGTTTGATGAGTCAAGTGCATCTATTGGCTTCATGAAATGAAGCCAGCTTAATTGTGTGTAAACAAATAATGTAGTGGCAAGCTTTTTGTGTTAGGTTGACTGATCTGCATCAGGAGCATGCGCAGATCTGATTTTGTTTGGGACCAGTTGTTGAAATCGCAAGGTTTGTTGGCGGGTTGAGAGTCAGCGATATCGTTATTAAACATATGTTGCATGAAAGTTATATAGGATCATTTGTGGTGAATGAATTCAGGTAACTCTGGAACCAACGACTCTTGTGTCGCTGAGACATTGAGTTACAGTTGAGTGAGATCAGGACTTGTGCAGAAACTACGTTGTATATCTGAAAAAAAATCGACATACACACACACTCTCAGAACTGATTAGATTTGATTTCCCTTCTCTAACTGAAGAATTGAAACTGAGGCAATACCCATTTAAAACAGTCACTTGTAAATCACTTGTTTCTAAGTGCAGTTGATTATGCTCAATATTATACATGTATCAGCTCATACGAAAGGTACATCAATCACGAAAACAACATTTTTGTTTTGTTTCTGATTTTGTTTTTGTTAGTATATATATGTTTTTTTTCCTCATCAAGCTTTGTCCGATTGCAACAACATATTAATGTTAAAAAGGAATGATCGGCAGGTCTTACTAATCACTATTTCGATAACATGTATTTATAAGTAATTAAGACACCTTTTGGTATCTGGCAGATTTTATGGCTCGAGATCGAATTTTGTCGGCACGTGTCATCTCAGTTTCGATCGCTCACGCACAAGTTTTGGCTCGTGTCGTCTTTGCCCGACTCTCGGCACGTGTTCAATTACAGTATTCAAATTACGTCAATGGGTCGAATCATTCAAATTAGTGAATCCAGGACCAGAATCCCGGACCAGGGATATTATACTAGTTACCTGCCACCGAATTGCCATTCGCAAGAGCCTTGATACTCCCCATTTCAGAATTGTGCCACAGTAACCTACGAGTAGACATAATATTTAAAACCCCAATGTAAATTACATAGCCATCAAGTATTGCAATATACTACATAGTATTATAGTGTTTTGTTTACACATTTAGACATTTAGATCATCCATCATGAAAACAAGATCGACCAATATTTTAGGCTATCGCAATATCACATGTTTCATTTTCATTTATGTGGCTATGCTAATGTGTGCTGTTAATCACTTGTATAGCCTATGAAACTTATAGTTTAATTAAATGTTGATAGCCATAATACCCACAGAAACCAACGTGTATAACGGGCCAATCAGAGTTCATCCATCTTTCCCGTCTCACGATTGGTTTTCTGAGCTTCCATAGAACACAGGCCTGTGCTACATAGGCATTAATATCGTAGCTGGTAAGTAACAAAGTGGTGTTATATTTAGCCATTTGTTCTTGACTTGACTGCGAAGGCTAGATTCAGTAGTAACGTTAAAAAATTTTTTTTAGAAAAAACAAAGATCACGGTTTAGCCTGTCCAAGGGGCCGGCACATGGACACACGGTTATGGCAAATTTGCCATTTTTTTTAATTAACTGTAAATAGCCACGTCGAAGAAGCCAGTAAATGAATAAAACCTCACCTCTATCAAAATAACTTAGCCCATGGACGTACTAGTAGTAGTACATGCCATGTTTGCTGAATCTAATATAATATATACTATGGCACTTCTACGTTAAATTATTGCAAGCACATTTATTTAATATAAACTGACGTCTCGAAACAAGTTTTCGCAATGATATATATCTATAACCCGTGTCCGTGTCGTCCTTCGAAATGTTGTGACAATACTATGCAGGTCACTTAGGCACAAGATGTAGTACAAATTCCCAGAGGCAAAATTCCCTACAGACAAAATCGGGCTGAAACCAATCCCAGTAGAAACAATCCGTGTAGAACAAACTCCCAGACAATTTGCATGGAGACAATGTCGTTTAATATGAGCTTTCCACATTCATATAATTTATAGTTTAACCACATATGTCTTTGCTATATATTACTTCTTATGCCGCGCGATTTATGAAGCCCCAATAGTACTATTTGTATTTGAAAACATATTGAAATAGTTGACTTTTATATCTACATCAACGTTCCCTATCGTCTTTGTTCTATTGTAATGTGTTGGCAGTAACTCAGCAGTTGAAAATAGATACAATTAAATCTATCCATTGAGGTAAAAGACATGCTCTATTCACAGTCCCACAGATACTGTGCTCTATCATATACTGTCAAGTGATTATGCGACCGGTGTTATATGATGAATTTGTTTTGCGTATCTGTTGACTGACTTATTTAGTTGATTACTAGCGAATGGCTGTGTTATGTCATCGTTTAGGCCAATGCGAGGTCCTAGACGGAACTTGGTTCTGTGATTTGGAACTAATTACGATATAACCGTCGCTATTCAGACTACTATTTCTGACAGTTACTAATATAGTGAACGATTAATCAAAAGATATGACGTGTTCAGTACTTAGTGTGATTGGCTGTATGATTGAAGGTTATGCCTTAGAGTCTTTTAACAGCTTTGTAATTGGTTAAGGTTTTGAAAGTGAATAAAGTAGTTTGAGTTGGTCTTGGCGAGTACACCACGAAATACGCAATCTAGAGGCAGTCTTGACGCAGTCTAGAGACAGAGTCTTGGGTCAGCCTTGCGATAGTCGTGGGGACTTTTCCCCAGGGCGCTGTGTCTTACAGAATGCTCGACTGACCGACTAAGACGAGAGTTGAAACGTATTTCGTTGTGTCTGTGTCTTATTCGACTGTAAGTTAAGTGACTTTCCCGATCCCGTACCTCAAGGGGACGCGATAGAGAGACGAGACGAGATTTCCCCCGTGATACGTGTGGAGAACCCAGAGGATAAGAATTTCCCCCTGATAGTTAGAAAGACTATGAATAAACACATGTTTTCTGAGATAATGTCCGCCGGGATTTCGTCTACAGACTTCGGCGGCTGGATGACATAGATCTATCCAGTAAATCTCAAATTCAGATTACACTTAAGACATATTCAGTGGTCATAGGATTAGAGAAGGTGCGGGTTAAAACAAAAAAAAATATCCAAGGCCACTTTTCAAAATGTCAGTAGTTGTTAAAGTGTTAATTCAATAGACAAACGTACAAAATTTACGTATGAAAAGATAGGGAATGTAGAGGGCGCAAAACCATTTAATCGTGTAAACCATGATAAGCAGCTATTTTAGCTGTTCATGACTTGTAAAGTGTAACAAGACATGTGTTCGGCAAGGGCGCAATAACAGATATCATTTTGTGTTGAGACAATGACCATAAACTAATAAATTATAAGCTGATTAGTTTTAAATATATAAAAATAGTCTTTAAACCAGGCCACGGAAGTAGGTTCATATGAAAAGTGAATGATATTAACATGTAAAACCAGGAGCGCTACAGTTCACGGTGCGTGATTTCCTCGCAACAAAAATTCAGCTAAACTTTTTTCACAACTACATATTCTTGATATATTTAAACTTCATAAACTCTTAGTCGCTACATTCATTCATAACCTTACTTATCAAGATTCACTCCATTCACTGTGTGATTACTTTCGACCACTTGAACAACACCACGACACTAGACAACAACGCCAGCGACATTCCTATCTTGACAGAACTAACACAACGTCGGGACAGTTTGCTACTTACTTTACAGGAGCAAACATCTGGAACAGTATCCCCCCTCCACATACGATCAATACGAAATGTATTAAAATATAGAAAACTTTTAAAACTACTTTTATTGCATGAAAATAATTGAAGTTATTTAGCCATTATTCATTTAATTATTTATCTTATTCATTCATTCCTTTTTTCATTCATTTATTCACTTACTACCTAAAGTCCCTCACATACTTATTTTTTTCTACAAAGGCTGGGCTCAGACTAGAATAGCTATAGCTATTTTTTGAAGCCGCTTTTCCTCCATTTTCTGTGATTTGTGTCATACCAATTATTGTATTTTTTACTTCTTACTACAGGATGAATAAACGTATTATTATAGGTACATCACGTTTTTCCCAAACAAGGAAAACACAGAAAATCAGCTAAATTGTGAACATATGATGTGATATATGAAATCGCTGGATGTTCATGAAACACAGTGGTAATTCCAAGTTGGAATGATAATTGATAAAGGTGAATGTTCACGCGCCACGCAATCAATTAAAATAAACTTCCTACAACCCAATTTATGTCATAAAATATGTTTGGTCACTAGAAGGAGTCCCTCGTAATAATTTCTTCAATTACAAAGTATTCTATTTTAATGTGTTTTATTTTGTCCATACATCTGTTATTTTGTTTTTCAAAATAATCTTGTGTCTTAAACAAGCAGCCTCTCGGCTGAGATAGCTCCGCTGTTAGCAATGCACATTACAATTAAAGAACAGAAGATATCATTAGAAAATGAAAATTATGTATAGTATCAAAACAATTGGACTTGCGGTTTTTGACAAGAAGTTGAAAATATCACTTTTTACCAAAAATGACAAAAATATTCACCAAAATTAGAGAATTAAAGATATCATTACAAAATGAACAAATCTGAGAGAGGTCCACATGTAGTACCTATATATGTAATATCAAAGTAATCGGACTTGAGGTTTTTTACAAGAAGTCGAAAATATCACTTTTTACCAAAAATTACAAAAATATTCACCAAAGATAGAGAATTTGAGATTTTGACATGCAATGAACAAATCTGAGAAAGAACCATCCAAGGTACTTGCATATCAAATTTGAAAACATTCTGACTTGCGGTTTCGAAGAAGAAGTTGAAATTGTTAAGTTGACACCGACGACGACGACGCCGACGACGGACGACGACGACGACGACGGACAATCAGTAATATGAACAGCTCCGCTGTGTCGTCTTTGTCGACAGCAGAGCTAAAAACGATATCGCCAGTGTGCACTCATTTCTTCATCGCTAACATTACACCATCTCCTAATGTAAGCATACTGATATCAACATTCTGGTCACTATATATGTTATCATTACATGCTCTTATTGCTGTGGTTTTGATATCTGTCTCCATTTCATCGGCCACTTTGCCTCCCCAAATCACCTAATGAAAAAAAAACAACATATTAATTGCACAAATACAGAAGTGTTAAATTCATTAGCACAGCGATATGAACATATATGAAATATCTAAGCATGGAATTAAGTTTTGATGTAATTTATTATTACGATCATTATGTTGTTGTTTAAGGAGTCGCCCTCCTATGGTAAACATACAAGAATTTACACACATTATTGCAATCTGTTATGTGTTATGATGAGATGTCATGTGATTGTATAAGAACATAGACATATCAGCCCTTATCATACCACAATGCATCATGAACAATAGAGCTACAGTACAAAATAAATTGATGCACAATACATTTATTATTAAGTACATATAGACGTGGAGATAATGACGACTAGGGTAAGGTAATACATTAATTACTGAATATCACTGAAATCCGCAAACGAAACAACGAACGTTTTACCATATTTCCTACATATATATATGTGTGTGTGTGTAATAGAAGATATAATACTATTAGTAGATATAAATAATGGTAGGGCTTGACTTACATTGTCTATGGCTATTATGCCACCTTTCCTCAATAAGGTATAAGCTCTGTCATAGTAATTACTATTATTTTCTTTGTCGGCATCAATAAATATGAAATCATATGTGCCACTCTCGCCCGCTTCAATCAAGGAATCTGAAAAGAATACCAGTAAATTATTGTCACAAATCAGTAACATGCGTTCACAGCATTCAATAAAAGCGTGAGTGAACACACAGTTTCTCTATCACCGGTCTGGGAACTCTTATTGTATAAATTGGCAATCAGCTGGATTAGTGGGACAACGCTCGTCACGACAATCTGCAAAGCGTGCAACTTTGTAGGTTGTACGGCTACAGTGGGTTTGTCGAAAAAGTATTTAGTAGTTAGAACAAACCGTTTTAAAATGTTGTGATGTAGTTTTATTGTATTTTAATATTAAATAGAATACTAAATCGATAAAGTTCCCAAATAATTTCTGGGCTTCTTGATTTTAATATATCCGTTGACACGTACGCATGCGCATTGATACTAAAATCTGTAATTTAATTATGTGTACGTCTATTTTGGGTCGCATCACGGATGGTATAACTTCCAGAATACTTATCGAAGGTGTTAACAGTTTATTCACAATATATATTTCTTGTTAAAAAAATCCTTTTTTAAAATTGATGGCATAAAGATAAAAACAACGAGGCATGAATGTCATAGTCCATATTTAAAAAAAATACTTTATACATCTAACTTTATTTATATGCATTTAGGAGTGGGCCATTGCACACCCTGGGGTGGCAGAACGGTGCAAAATATTGTGTTCATTCACTTAGTTTTGTGTTATTTTTTTCCATTATGAATTCGCTGTAATTATTTATTCCACTGCGTGAATTTTTTTTAGGCATATAGAATTTTTGTTTTCAACATTTATATAATTCAGTTTTAATGTTTTACGTGTCTGTTGTCTTTTATTTAATCACGAATTGAATTGCAATGAACATGTTTTGCTACATGCATAATATATGGAATCAAATTGGATGTGTAAATCACTGGTCATCTGACCAGGTCACTTTTTTCAGAATGAATTTGTAGTGTATGATCAGTAATTGAGAGTAAATAATAGACTAATCTAGTATCATCAAAAATCAAATGTATTAAATTATTTCTAAATTTGCAATTTGATGTAGGGTCACGTATTTATATTTCTATATGCTATTTTTCATATTTATGCAATTTTTATATCCAATAACACTCTTTCAATTTCTGTTTTCATGCGGGAAATTAAGGCATTTTACAATTTAATGAGAATGAAGCCAAAGTCAAACATTCAATTGTATTACATAACTTATAAAATAATTTGAACATTGTGATCAGTATTTTAAAATTACCATATATATGACCATATATTGTTTTTGAAACAGGTAAATTTTGAACCTCTGAAATAGAAAAATCCTGAGCTAGATGAAATATGTATTGAGACAAGATGAGAGCTAAGCTAAGAGACAAACATGGAAACGTTTTTGTCTTATATGTATATAACACCTACCTAGAGTCTTCAGTGCAGGTTGTAATCTTAAATCAATTTTATGGTTGATGTCCGATTTGCTCCAATACTGCTCTGCAAAGTTAGTACACTTTTCACAAACATCACACGCAATCACTTTGCCATCATCTGGCAATGCTAGCGACATACTCAAAGTGTTGTATCCTGTAAACACGCCTGAAAGAAATAGTTTACCGTATGGTGTTACCAATCATATCAAAAGGTTCTTCCCAGAAAGCTACAAAAACAGACATCTCAGAGGCATGCCCATCACTAGACTACATTTACAGTGAACACCACAGAGATGTTATTACGATTGATTTGGATGTTAGATTAGAATAAATGATTACTTACTGTGTTTTAAAATAGTTTTGATTACGTGCAAACATTATCTACAATCCTGACATATTTACACATAGAAATAATGTAAATATGACCGTAGACAAAAGTTTGCAGGTACTCGACAATATTTTGAAACAATGTAGATATTGTTCTGATCTCATTTGATCCAGAGCAGTGTGTTCTCTAAAATTACTGATTTTGTAGGGTATATGAAATACGACTAAGGAATTCAGTACACTGTATTGACTATATAGAAGAGGAACTCTAATTCATATAAAACAAAAATTGTATTTATTGCATGAAAATGTCTTATTTTTGACCACAGATTTGCCTTTGGCTGAGATATTACAGGTATGAATATTAATGACGTCACATTAACCAATTTATAACAGGTGGGTGATTAATATACATAGATTTCAACCCTGATGTAATCAGATCTGTGGATTATCCAAAAGCACCTATGTACCAAGTTTTATAGAAATGTTATGAGTGATACTAAAGATATCTGTAGAACACCAAAAATTGATTAATTTATGCAAATTAGGTAGTAAGCACATAATTTAACCCTAAAGTAAACATGTTTATGTCTTATCCTAGAGCACGTATGTACCGGTAGCAAGTTTCATTGAAATCTGAGGAGTAGTTGAGATGCATGCAGTTGGATGCAGTTGGATAAATGCAGGACCTTATTCAATTGCAAATACCTGTATGCAGACTCAGTTAATGAAAACATGCGCCATACTTACCGACTTCAATAGCTTTCTTAGCATCAAGCATTTTTAATAATATTCTAAAAAACTGTGCTTGCTCTGGTGCGATTAGCAGTTCATACTCTCTGAACGTGCTCATTGTCGTCTACAACAAAAATATATGACATACCAGTGATGTACAAAAACTGAATACAAGTAAACAACTCAACAACAACATAGACATATAGTTGCATTAGATATTCTGGCAGGCTGTTACACAAAAATAAATGCAAACATGTGTATATGGATAAATATCGGTTAGACTTCGTGATGCAGAATAAATGAGCATCAAAAACGTTATGCATACATACGACAGTATGTCCGTATTTTAGACACACTCTCTAACATAAAATACTTTACCTCACGTAGGTCTTTGAGTATGGCCGGTTCTCTCAGAGAATGGTCAATCACATAATTCAATATAGGATTATCCATAGCCATAAAGCTTTTCTTGAATACACTCACTGGTGGTCGCATCGTTGCAGCATATTTATAACCTGAAACAGTGCAAAAACATTTTCTCTATAAAGACCTGTGTGGTATCAATACAATCACAATTATAGCGCATTTGTCACAGTTGTTTGTGCCAGTGGAAACGTTATGTAAGTCAGTTTCGTATACAAAAACACCTGACATTACCCACGTCTTGTGGAAAGTGTTGTGTTCTTAGAGTGGTTATGGCTGTGAATACTGAATACATATTGTGTTATTTCTACATTGTCCTGAAACATGAGGACAATTGTGCACATTTCTTGTCACAAGATTGTATAATTTGAATATTACGATTTTGGTCAAATTACAGAAGAATGTACAGATAGCCAATGTAAGAAAGAGAGAACTTGTTTGTGCTCGGTTGACCATAATTAATGAATTGTGTAATTTATACACATTTCTGAAATAACCCAATGAACACCAATTCAAAAAATAAACATTATTCCCATAGATTACAATAAACAATAGATTTTGGCAATTGACATAAACTACACAACCATATACAGGGGAAACCATCTTCCATTGTACCCCAGACCATTCGTCCCGGTGTTATCGCTATCGCCACACGAGACTCCAGCTTGTCTCCTATACAATTTTCCTTCCGCCCACTTAATTTTAATATTCATATGACCTTTGCACTGACATCGATAGCCAATCGCATTCGACCGCGGACGTCACTCTAAATAAACAACTGAATAAATTAATATACCATATTTGGAAGATAGCGGGTAAATTCAACGTTGTTGGTGTGTTCCTTCGGGTTCCGAAGTCGCACGAAACGAGTTCATGTTGTCGCGCGCAGTTATCTAACATGAACAAATTTTACTTTCTGTATGATGTTCTCCAAGCTAGTTT